CCATTTTTAAAAAATGATTTATTTTTAGAGTCGAAGAACTCGACTAGTGCTTGCTTGACATCAGCTTCAGTTTTGAATCTTTTTCCTGTAAAAAGTTTTGCAAAGAGAGAGACACGTGATAATCGGAGGGTGCTAGGTCCGGGGAGTATGGTGGATGGGACAGAATTTCCCAGCCTAGCTCTGCGATTTTCTGACGAGTTGCCAAAGCAGCATGTGGTCTGCCATTATCATCGATAGCCATGTTTTCACGATCGCGTCTCGCTTAATAATGACACGAGACATCTTTGTTTCAGTTTATTTAGGAGAGTACATGTGTGTAAATGCAATGATAAAGAGAGATAGTCGTATATGTCTCAAATCAACATGTGCATATGGATTGAAAGTTGAAGTGACACTATCGGACAGAACTTTCCGGTAGACCTAATACTTCTCATAAACGAAAATTCTAAATAAACGAAACTTTCGCACTGTTAATAAAGCTTTCTTTGTCTCATATTCTACACAATTATTTACAAGTGATATAAAGTAATTCTCACTTTTGTAAATTGAATCACAAATATAGGATTTCGCGTATATGCATTCGTAATGCGGTTACCGGGAAACAAAATGCAAGGTATATACGAGTTCCGTGAAAATCAAATACCACAGGAAAACATGGTAAGTATATATACCGAAAGATCAATCTCGATCAAACAATTGCAGAGCTGTGTGATTTTAGATAGATTTGTAGATTACTATGCTGTTCCGAGTTCATGTATATTGAGTTAGATACGAGGTACGAAGTGAAATGCCCTGGCGAATGCTACGGCGAATAGTTTTTATCAATAAAATCAATACTGCAAAATTGCCAGCCAACAGAACGATACAATGGAGTAAAATTCCAAACATAAATGAAATAAATGGAATAAAATGAAAAATAGACATAGAAAGAATGCAAAATTACAATTGCAATTTTTTCCAAAATTTTTATACACATTGCCTAGCAAATTATATATATATAATATATAATACGACGTAAATTTTTTAGGATGTTATATATCTATGTATTATTTTATTTATACATATATTTTATTATATACATATTATTATATAATATATATTATATTATTATATTATATAATAATATAATATATAGATATATAACATCCTAAAAAATTTACGTCGTTTGGTACAATTTTTAAGAAGTTACTCCGTTTTATAAGATGCTGAAACACATTCGTAGGCCACTGTAAGCATGTATCTACGTAGATATTACATATAATAAATATGTTACTATGCATATCCATTTTGCAAGAATGCGCAAAATGTATGTACAATTTGTAAGCGGGAGGGGCGGGTGTCCGCCAACCCGCGTCGTTCAAGGGAGCGCCGTAGTTTCAAATAATGCGCACATTTCGTTGCAACATTACAACGTCATTCAACGATGAAACAGTTTGTAAAGCAACGATTTCAAAAACGACCGACCATCAAGGGTAAACGCTCCGTTCTAGTATTCCGGTATTATCGATCAAAAAAACTGTTTATTACTATACATTCGGAGTAAGGTCCGGGACAGCTTGTTGCACCCCCGGTGTGCACACGTTCTATTCTCGGCAAATAATTTTGCAGTAAAAATAAAGAAGAAAATAGCTCCGACGTAAGAATCCGCGGAGGACCGGCGCACGCATGCGCGGCCGCGACTCGCCGAGCTCGCAGCAGCAGCGTGAATGAAATAGGAACGTTACTCACCTCTGCGGTGTAAAAACGTCACCGGCCGCCGGTGTATTCCTCGCGCGGGACGCGTACTTGTGCGTTCTTTTCACCTCCTGTTCGACGTTTCCGCAGAGTCGCGTGGCCAGTTCACGTCTATGTAAACAAAACCACCGGGGTCGAGGGGCGAGAGAGAGAGAGATCGTGTTCAGATCGTCCGGCGAGTTTCCACGAATGTTTCTCTCATCCTGCCGTGACGTGAACGCCGGCGGAGCACATCACTTGCGCAGAGCGAGCAGTCCTCTTTCGGTGTCGTGCGGTCGCCGCCACTGACGCCACGGAACGGAACAGAAAAAAATATATAGTCGTGTTCGGGTTAGAGCCGCGGCGACAGTTGAAACGCGGGCAAGAGAAGTGGCTGGATCGAAACGGAGAGAAGAAGATACTACGCGCGGCGGAGAGAGCCGGAAAGGGACGAGGCGCGGAGACGGGGGGGAGGTGTCCGACAGAGAAGAAACCAAGTGGAAACGAACAGAAAAACGAGACGCGAGAAAAGTGGCCAGATAACGAGCACGAGTTTCCTGCACTGGAAGAGAGCGTACGCGATACGGGAGTCTCACGCGTCGATCACCACAGACACATTACACGCACACGCGCACGGACACGCAACGCACGCGCGCACGGACACGCAACGCACGCGCACGCACGCACGCACGCACGCGCGCGCGTACATAAACGATCATCGGATACACCGGGGGAAATACCGTCGTCCGATCTGGCCGACGATTTCGCCACCTAGCCGGCCCGTCGATGTCCCATCGTTCGCACAACAAGCAAATCCACCTTTCCCCGCGGCTTTTTCGAACGTTCCCCGGACCGCATGCGCGAGCTATGCGACGATCTCGCCGGCGCAGTTTCCCCGAACGATGCTCGGCGGAAACCTTTTTGCAGGAGGTAAAACGGATCTGTTCTCTCTTTTTTTTTCTTTTTTTCTTTTTTATTTCCCGTTTCTTTCCGCTTCTTTGGATGCGTGGCTGCGTGCGTGGCGCGCGCGTGTGCGGCTCGAAGTCTCGCGACGAGGGAGATCGTCCTCTTCCTCCGTTGTGTGTTCCTGCTCAGGATCCGATCGAGCAGCCACTGACCCCATGAGACGACGTCGGACCGAAGAGGAGAAAGAGAAAGAGAAAGAACGTGTCTCGTTCGAAGGGAGAGAGAAAATGACCGGCGGAGGGAGCGTACACGAAAGACGAACGGAGAAAAGCGGGAGAGGGGAAACGAAAGAGAAAAGGAATGAATCGGTGAAAGAGATAGAGAGGAAAATGGATAGAGAGCGAAAGAGCCGAGATTGGAAAAGAAAGAGAGCCTCTCCTCGGACGAGAGCGGACCGCGAGGCTCTCGCGTATAACACACGACTCACACTGTTGGCCAGCTCCCCCTCTCTCTCTCTCTCTCTTCTTTTCTTTATTTCTTCCTGTCTTTCTTTCTCCTCTCTCTCTCTCTCTCTCTCTCTCTCTCTCTCGTGTGGATCTTCTACCGCGTTGTTTCTCTCCGAAATTGAATCACGCGGAGAGACGGACACACGTTCGAGTTCGTCCGAGGAACGCGAACGGAATTTCGAACCGATTTCCGCGTGTGCACTGATACGATTTATGTGATCAAATCACTGTTACAATGTCACCTCGTCGATATCTCAGCATATCGTCCCGGCGAGACACTGGTTCGCGCGCGCAAACAAACCGTGACAGTACGTCGCGCGCTTGTTTAGAATATACTGAATACATTTTGACCCGAGCGCTCCGTTCAGGCTCGGCCGGCGCTGGCGCTTCGCGCGTTCGGCCGTGATCGGCCCCGGTCGGCGCCGCTCGGACGCGCTCGCGCTCTATGCGCCAGCCAACCACGATGCCCCGGCCGACCGCGAATGAAACTCGCGCCCTCGCTCGATTGCAAATTATGTGCCTCGCCAGGGACGATGCACCGCGATCGTGTTTACTGAAATCATAGTGTTTCCCGTTTCGAACCGTTCGCGAACTATGCGACCATACGGTCCACGAAAATCCGCTCGTCGTTCGCTGTCTGCTGTTCATTGCCCACCCCCAAACTTTCGCGTTGTCGTCATGCGAATTAATGAATGGAAAACCGATCTACCGCGCTGAAACAATAATCTGAACAACGACCCTTCTTTTTGGACAAAGTTAAGAATACGTTCATATCGACTTTTTCTTGTTATTATAATTATTGTAGGTAGGATATAGTAAATGACAATAAAATAACTGGGAAATATATTTACAATGGGTGCTCAACAATATTATTAGGCCACTTGAGATAATGATTTCACACTAAATCAATGAAAATTTAAATGGAGATCTAGTTACTATAAATTCTTATTATATATATATATATATATAATAATTATTGTAGGTAGGATATAGTAAATGACAATAAAATAACTGGGAAATATATTTACAATGGGTGCTCAACAATATTATTAGGCCACTTGAGATAATGATTTCACACTAAATCAATGAAAATTTAAATGGAGATATCTACCTACAATAATTATTATATATATAATAAGAATTTATAGTAACTAGATCTCCATTTAAATTTTCATTGATTTAGTGTGAAATCATTATCTCAAGTGGCCTAATAATATTGTTGAGCACCCATTGTAAATATATTTCCCAGTTATTTTATTGTCATTTACTATATCCTACCTACAATAATTATTATATATATATATATATATAATAAGAATTTATAGTAACTAGATCTCCATTTAAATTTTCATTGATTTAGTGTGAAATCATTATCTCAAGTGGCCTAATAATACTGTATTAATAATATGTATATATTAAAGTTAGGTTATTATATGTAGTATATTATTATTAATTATTAAAGAAGGAAATCGCAATGGAAATTGTTACAAATAAGCACGATTTAATTGATGGTTTATCTAAAGTATCGAACGGGAATAATGTACTTAAAAATACCGTGAAAAACATTTATTGCAGCAAGCGGGGGTGTCAACAAATATTGACTGCCTTATTACTTCATTATAAATGCGTTAAAATAATGAAATTTTTCAGGTGTTTTTTTTTCATGAACAATCATCACACATTTAGATAATTCAGCATCCATTGTAAACGAATAAAAAGAATTAAAAATATGGAGAAATCATTTTCATGCAGATTTCTCTTCAACGAGAGTGTGACCGGTGTTACCGACGCTACTAAATAAGACGAACGACGCAAAATATAAATATTTATACAAATATAAAAGTATAATATAAATATATAATAATTATAAAAATCAATGCATACTTATTGCTTGCAGAATCTTCATACTTGCTCACGATTTAAAAAAGCGGAATCGGACATTTCGATTTGCATAACGTAATCGTGGATATTATTTACATACTTTCTAAATAAATAAAATATAAAAAAAATAAACTAAAAATTCAGTTAAAATAGAAGCTAATCACAAGCAATTTTTATTCTCTTCGTCAGAGGCCCAAATGCCGAAGAATAACATGGCATTCGTAATTTCGTTCAATAATTCTGATAAAACCTAATTACGTACGACAGAGATAAAACGAAGCCAATGTAAAGTTTCTATCGTGAACGTTATCTGTAGAATCTGAAGATCTCTTTAATCATTGAAATTCAATAGTTTTGCATGGGATCAGAGTCACGATTCTCTAGAGCAGAACCATGGAAATGCCTGCTACACTTGAACGAACTATGCAACCGATCGAACCAGCTGGAAGACAGGTCTTTATCGGTTTCTTTGTCCGATCTGCGGGAACGGTTCGCGGCGATTTCATTACCCAGGCAAGATTGAAAAGCCCTCGCGGCACTGTGGAAACAATGTATCATGGGCAGGTGCCGGGTGTGGAAGCGCGGAATGGAAGGGAATCGGAAACAACAGAGTAAAGAATGCCGATCTCCTTTGCATGAACGTTGTCGTCGAAATGCTGCAAGCTTGTCGAATCCTTTAAGTCGCGTGCCACTTTATTACCAACACATCTTTGCATTGTACCAATCGGAACTCGTGTCAAAGCAAGCTCTTGTACATCCGTAATAAGGAGAGCAAACTACTTGAATAATTATTTACCCTAAAGCTACCGTACCGCTAAAAAAAAACCGGTCTCACATCTTTCATCTAAAACAATATAAATTATAAAGATTCTTTCACAGGAAATGATAGAATTTTATTAATTCAAATATATTATATATATATATATATATATATATATATATATATATATATTATTAATATATAATTAATATTAATATAATATTATTAATATATAATTAATNAAAAAACCGGTCTCACATCTTTCATCTAAAACAATATAAATTATAAAGATTCTTTCACAGGAAATGATAGAATTTTCTTAATTCAAATATATTATATATATATATATATATATATATATATATATATATATATATATATATATATATTATTAATATATAATTAATATTAATATAATATTATTAATATATAATTAATATTAATATAATATTATTGTAATATAATATTATATGATATTATATAATATTATATATATTAAATATATTAAATATATTATATTATATATATAAATGGTGAAGAAATCTAAATAAATTCAGTCATGTCTTTTCGACAAAACACACGCATCGGTCACTTTTTTATTGCTCGGTAGGTTTCATTTCATTTTTACACGATCACGCGAAATCTACAACATCGTTACACGTTCACACGTTGCTAATTTCTCAAGCATTTGCGTTAATACGTCCTTTCGAGGCGACCGAAGGTTACGCGATAGGCAAAGGGTTAATTCAAAAAATACGTACTGCATAATCAATCGAATTCGAATTTGACAATTTCATGAAACATTCAACGGCGCGTCGTCAGCGTACGTTGTATAATGACTGTAATTAGACGAGTAGGCTCACTTGGCACCGAAAAAATCCTATCAAGAATTCTAATAACGTCGCGTACAAACGTACGGGAGCCCTCTCCCGCCTCTGGCTACGATATCACCCGACGAGAAATCCAGCAGCAGTATCAAAGAGCATTGTGGAACATATACTTTCGCATGTATACATTATGCAAATTGATTCCATCGATTGGCCGATGGACCCTAACACTCGCGTACACACACAGACGTCTCGCACGTTTCTGCTCTAGCTCCTGCTCGCCGCGATACAACTATCCAGGGACTTCCATTTACCAGGCAATTTCAAGAAAATGGCATCGTTTTAAAAGCGGAGGTGAGAAACGTCGAAATAGTTGCTCGAAAATTATATCGTGATTATCATCTCCGCGCTACGATTCGCTCCCGTTCAGCTCGCTAACTAGCGCGGCGTCGCGTCGTTTCGAAAAGATTCCGTCCATTTTTTTCTTTTCTTTTTTTTTCATATTCGAAACAGGTTCGAGCCGCGGAATCATTTTAACGCGTGTAATTATACTTCGTATGCCCCGTCGTTTTACTTTTGTATTTCCTGGTCCGCGTATTGCTGCGAGTTCTCTGCTACGTCGAGGAGTTCTCTATAATGTTTATAATTAGTTCCTCGATGTACATGTTATCATCTCATAGGATAGTTGTTTTTCCTCGTTCCCAACGTTCCCGTAGAAAACGTACTCGGCGAATACATTACAGCGTGTTTCTCGTATTATTGATAATGAAGCAACCACTTCGACGCATCGGTTATGATGTACACCGGTTATGATGTTGCGGTCTATAAAGTATGTTATAACTTCGCCGTAACTTGACTTTTACTATCCGGGTAACGTCGCGAGCCCGCGTATCAAACGCGCCGGTGTCGCGCGGTTGAATTCAGCGGGGAGCGGTTAAGATACCGCGGGAAGATTTGTATATTTCTAGATTACGAGACGCGTTACACTTTCAATTATTTTGAAACGTTCCTTTAATGCACGGATACACGAAGATAATCGTGCCGGTCGAGGTACTACATATCTGGGCACGAGTCGGTTCGCAATAATCCCGATAAAAACTCTTTTCCGAATCGGGTTGGCTCCATGCTATCGTGGCGCACGCGTTCGCGAGCCACGTGGTAAACCGGGCAATATTTTCTTCTAGTTTACACACGATTAACGATCGCCGTAATTATCTTAAAAGGTTTCTTCGTGGGAGTAATCGAAGGACCGATTATCGTGCACCGCCCACGGCGACGTTGCTCTTCTCAATAGTATGGCGCAATTAACCTTTTAGGTACGGCTGAATTCTGCGCGAGGCTATTTCTCTGGACGGCAGAGTTTGATATGTACTGTACAGAGTCTGATACTGTATATTCTGTCTGTATATACCGGTTGTCCCAAGAATGTCTCGCAACCCGAAAGTGACGGGTTCCTCGGGCCATTTGGAGCAACTTTTTCCTTTACAAAAATATTCTCCGAGGCACCGTTAACGAGTTATTAACGAAAAACAGTGACCAATGAGAGGCGAGCTCAGCTGGCGCGAGGCGATCGAGCCAATGAGCGGAACTGGGCTTCGCGCGCTGGTTAGCTGGGCCGCCTCGCGTCAGCTGTACTCGATTCTTATTGGTCACTGTTTTTCGTTAATAACTCGTTAACAGTGCCTCGGAGAACATTTTTGTAAAGGAAGAAGTTGCTTCAAATGATCCGAGGAACCCGCCATTTCCGGATTGCGAGACATTTTTGGAACATCCTGTTGACTGTTGTAAATCGATGTGAAGACAAAAGAAGTGTGAAACAATGCATATGAAGGCGATTATTTGATTCAAACGATGAGCGAGTGAGCTACTAGAGCAAGCCACTATAGTGGTGCGTCGTGCCTAAAAAGTTAAAGTAAATGGCCGAAGAATGGAGTAAATAGACACGGGAAACGCGTGTAAAACGCGCGAGAATAGCCGGCGAGGGGATCGTTCGTGTTTCGGCAACGATTGAAAACGTTCTACGGGGATGGCCGATCGGTAGCGTTAATTCGAAATTTCTGTTGGCTGATAAAATGGGAACGCAAACAACGAGCCGAGAATTACGCTGCTTGGACTCGCAGCTGCGAATCCATGTTAAACAAACGGCTAATCGATAAACCATCGCAAAGCATCGCACGCTGCTTATTTCATTTCCTGTATTCGTTATTTGTAAACGAAGAATGGATCGTGCCATGATTCAATTAATACGATGCTCGACGAATGTTGCGATCACCGTATTGACCATTTGATTTTTTTTCAGGAATTCGCTTTATCATTGAAGACATTTTGTTTTTTTTATCTACGAAGCCGTCTTTCAATCGGACGATTTTACCAAATGAGAGTCGTCGCGAAGTCATTCATTAAAGATGGCGTCTCGCATCATGCTGGGCGAAATGAAACATCGATGGCACAGTTCCCTGCCTTGCCTCCCGTTACCGTGCAAAATCATTTTCCGTTTGCTAGCTGTTAAATGCACGCGTATCAGGAAAATAGTGGAAACCGACCATGAGATCGATCTTACGAAACACTTATTAAAGCCGTAAAGTAACCGCGCAAGAAATTATTATACCGACCGCATCGCTGATTTTTGTCGCGTGTTTCATTTTATCCGTGAAATTGAAAAAAGTCAATGGTCAAAGACGATTTAACGCTTGCTCAGGAGTAGAGTATTGTGATAATGAGGGTTCGTTTCCGCAGCAGTCAACTGTGTGCAATTATCTGATGGTAATGCATCAGTTGTCGTCAGAAAAGATTAGTCGTTTTCTTTCGAGAAATTCCTTCGGCTCATCAAATAGCGAAATTATGTAACTCTACACTATGTGCAGCGTGCACAGCGTGTGCACCCGATACTAAAATTCCGCGATTACAAAATCTTTCGGGTTGTAAGGCCGATTACGCTGAGCGACGAAATTGATTACTATCGCTATTCGTCCAATTAAAGATGAACAGCTGTTTTGACGAGTCTTAACTTTGAAGAATGAATTGAAGCACTGTAAAGCACTCAATTCGATGGTCTAAGGTTGAAAGACTATCTGCGTAGTAGACTAGCGTGAGCTGGAGTCTACTGAAGTTGAGGAGTTGAGTGAGTAGTAGACTAGCATGAGCTGAAGTCTACTGTAGTTGACTGACTAACTGAATAGTAGATTAGCGTGAGCTGGAGTCTACTGAAGTTGATGAGTTGAGTGAGTAGTAGACTAGCGTGAGCTGGAGTCTACCGAAGACGAGACTGTCTAAGAGGATTGGAGACAACTGACCTGAATGACAGGAGAGAAGACTGAATAATTAGTAGACTAGCGTGAGCTGGAGTCTACTGAAGTTGAAAAGTTGAGTGAGTAGTAGACTAGTGTGAGCTGGAGTCTACTGAAGTTGAAGAGTTGAGTGAGTAGTAGACTAGCATGAGTTGGAGTCTATTCTAGTTGAGTGAAGCTGCGTTGACTGACTAACTGAATAGTAGACTAGCGTGAGCTGGAGTCTACTGAAGTTGAAGAGTTGAGTGAGTAGTAGACTAGCGTGGACTGGAGTCTACTGTAGTTGACTGACTAACTGAATAGTAGACTAGCGTGAGCTGGAGTCTACTGAAGTTGAAGAGTTGAGTGAGTAGTAGACTAGCGTGGACTGGAGTCTACTGTAGTTGACTGACTAACTGAATAGTAGACTAGCGTGAGCTGGAGTCTACTGAAGTTGAAGAGTTGAGTGAGTAGTAGACTAGCATAAGCTGGAGTCTACTGAAGTTGAAGAGTTGAGTGAGTAGTAGACTAGCGTGGACTGGAGTCTACTGTAGTTGACTGACTAACTGAATAGTAGACTAGCGTGAGCTGGAGTCTACTGAAGTTGAAGAGTTGAGTGAGTAGTAGACTAGCGTGGACTGGAGTCTACTGTAGTTGACTGACTAACTGAATAGTAGACTAGCGTGAGCTGGAGTCTACTGAAGTTGAAGAGTTGAGTGAGTAGTAGACTAGCGTGGACTGGAGTCTACTGTAGTTGACTGACTAACTGAATAGTAGACTAGCGTGAGCTGGAGTCTACTGAAGTTGATAAAATTTAAATCAATAAACAAGATCCGAAAAAAGAGCTTGTCACATTGTGAAACTATATACAGTAAATTGTCACTAATTGCCGCTCAGATTGTAAGCAAAAAAATGGACAGTTTGGGAAGAGAAGGTACAACTATTCGAGCCTCGCGGCCCGTCCTCTTCCCGAACTGTCCATTTTTGTGTACAATCTGAGCGTCAATTAGGTAGAATTTACTGTGTATACATGATTTAGTTCCTTTTTATTAATAAAATGGTGAATGATAAAATCAAATGGAAAACGATCCGAATAATTTTACCAAAAACCATATATTATGTATGAATAAATGAACGGAATTATCAAAACATTTTTTTAGAAAGTACAGTTTATTGAAAGACATATAAAATTATCACAGAGGCAAGGTGTGTATTCTAATATTGTAATGAACGTTTCGTTTGTATGTCGTCCAATATCGTTCTAAGTTCTTCGTCCTCCAAACGTCCTTCTAAGCTGGGAATCAAGGCTTTTGCTTCTTCCGGCGTTTCCGGGCAGAGATTAGCGAGCGACGCGAGTTCGAATTTGTGTAGCTTCTTCTGCATAAGTAAACTGAAAATAAGTAAGTAAAAAAAGAATATTTTCAATGAATTATAAGATTCTCCAATCCATTAAGAAAGCCAAGCCGTAATTAATGAAGTTTTTTTTATGCATGTAAAATATACTTACTTTCGGACGGCCGCGATAGTTTCCTTGTTCTTGAATCGCCTGAATCGATTTGTGTAAGTTAAACTCTTCATGAAAACTTCGGAGAATTCTTGTTCCTCTTCGGCCGACTCATTTTGAGCTTTTCTGTGCTCCAATAACATCGAGACTTCCGAGATCAATAGTGTTTCTGCGTTTTCAAATTCTGAGCACAAAAAAAAGCATTTAGGCGTGGTATTTCCTCGTCTAAGTATTGATATCATCATAGCCGGATTATTGTTCGAATTGATAATCACCAGCAACAAATTGTTTAAATATATTTTATTTATGCGAGGTTTTATAAAATACACTTTAATAGATTATTAAAAATTGTATAAAATGTAAATCATTATTTATTAAATCGTTAATTTAGTAAATCGTTAATTATACATATACTTGTATACAATTGATTTATGGATATTTATATTATTATTCTTTACATCATTTGTACAGTATTAGATACGACACGTACACCTTATATTCTCCCGCGGAAGAAATAATCAAATTGTATGAAAAACCTTTAACAAATTACGAACATTAAAGATCTACTTTATGGTCCTTATCATAAAATGTCGAATAATGCGAAAAGGTTAACAGATCATTAAAAAAAAAGACAAATTGATAATCAAATTCTTAAAAGCGGTACCTAATACTCAAATTACTATTTTTAGTCAATTTTATCAATTATTGTACTATCTCGAGACGTCTTAGGTATAAATCTTAACATTTAATATCACAATACTATCAGTACACGCAAGATACAAAAAAAAGTTTTAAAATTCGAATATATTTACTATATTAATGAAATATATGTCATTGATTTGGTTTATTTATATATCCTTGTTCTGTAAGAAAATCATAGATTTTACGTGTTTTATTTACATCGATTTTAAGCAAAACTCTAGCTTGTGCTAATCTAAGATAGCCATTCTTTTTATTCTCTCCTATCAGAAGTTGTTTAAAATCGAGATAGTTAGCAGGAACTATACGTGTCACCGAACAAAGCTCTTTCTCGACAGAGGTAAGCTTTTCATATCCAGGCAGACCTTTTATTGCTAAAGGCGGTGCTGTTTTTCGCTGTGAAATTGTGCTAGGTATCGAACTATTTGTATTAACATTACAACCAGGCAATATGGACTTCCAACTGTATTCAGAATTATTTAAGTACTGTTTTCTCTCTCTCTCGTTCTCCTGCCTGAGTTTACCTAGCTTTTGAAACAGTACAACACTGTGGAAATGTGTAAGACCATTACTGCGGAACTCGAAAAGTTTATTTAAATAGTTCTTAAGCTCTCCAACACGGTGCAACCCTTCCATAAAGAAGTCAAACTCTACTCCTCCCATTAATTGCATGAAAATTAATAATCTCTCTGCAAGCGTCCTAGTTATTGTACATTCATATCTTTGTATCCAAGAAATAGTTCTCCTAAATGCAATCAAACCGTGATCACGTATGATTCTCCTTCTCCTCATACGTTCTTTCAGTCGATTATTATATGCCTGCACCATAGCTGTTTGCATAGCTTTTCCTAACTCATAATTATCACTTAATTCAAATTCATCGTAATTCAGATCAGAAATTAATAATTCTGCGTGATTATCAAAATTTACTTCAAAATCTGACCTCGCAGGATTATATCCTGCTAAAAGTTTACAATTAAGAGTATTAGACGCAAACCGCGGTGGTTCTTCTAGGTCTTGTAATTTATATAGATAAGGTATCGGATCATGACCGAACAGACTTGCTTTTGTTTCTTTAATTCTTGGCAAACCAGGTATACTTTGATTATCGATATAATGTTGAAGATAATGGCTTTTGCACTCTTCCGCAGATTTCCCTTGCATTCTTTTCGAGATGTCACCCCAATTCCCAAAACCACATTCTTGCAACACGTCAAGAAACTCTAATTCCTGCTTAGCGGTCCAACCACTTCCATGAATCAGAGGGAACTCGTTCTTTATAATAATATAGTCGTGATCGTTTCTGTGACCGGTAACTTCAGAGCCACTTGAGAAACAAGAAGGGCATAAATCCGTGTTGCTACACACTGCGCAACGAATGTAAGGCTCCATTAAAGCAGATTTGCATATGCGGCATGTTGGATCTGAAGTAATGACTTCTTCCTTCACGACTGACACGTCGAGTTCTATGTCATTCTCGATATTTTCTGTTTTACTCGATGAGCAGTCTGAAAGAGAAAATCGTTACTTAAGGCCATGCCGCATAAACAATTAAAAAATCGAATTCGAAGTGTTACGTTTATTATTCAATGAAATGCCTTGTCGAAACAATGTTGACAAATGTACACATGTATAGGTTAGATTCAAAGAAGAAACTTCTATTTTGATTGATAAAATGTACCTTTCGGAAACTGCAAATCAGCAGCATCTTCTTCTGTCATGTCCGTTAAATTTGGATTAGCCATGGTACTTCTCGTACTTTTGACAAATGTAATTTAACACAACCGATTCGTAAATGTTTACTATTAACAACTCCCAGGCATGCTTACGACACGAACTGAATGATCTGTGCAGATGTCTCGTGCTGCGTTACATTCTGTGTTTGGATCGGTGTTACCAACACCAGAAAGAATACACACACAGGTCACAGACTTAGAATCTATACGAGCATTGCTTGTGTAATGCTCTAAATGTCCGTACTCCACATGCGACATCCGGCTTGCATTTTCGTTCGATCATGTTGAGTTTATCATCTAATAATTCATGATCCTAATCTTCGTACTGAAGTGCGGATTCTGTGTTTTATTCTGTATCGATATAAGGAAGTTTTGATGCTGTGTTCACAGAATACAGTTTTCGTATGCAAGCGCATTGGAAACATTTCCTTTAAATTGCCACTGTGTACCACTGTACGACATCAATCCCATAAAATTGTACACTTGATATGTATCATATAGATACATTATTTGATGTCGAAATAAAAATTTCTTAAATGGTTGAAGCAAAAGCTAAGCAATTATTTGATAGTAATTCAGATTTAACAAATTGAATAATACTTAAAATGCCTAAAATACAAGGATTTCAATCCGTAAACGGCAAGAATAAGAATATTACAACGGAAGCAATATTAGAAGCAAAAGCAATACTCCCTGATGAATCCTCCGAAAGTTATGACAGTGATCCATTATTAATGAAAACACTACAGAAACGGGAAAATTCAACAGCATTTAAAATACCTAAAGGGCAAGGATTTCAAACCGCAAGCGGTAAGAATATGATTGTTACACAAGAAGCTTTATTAAAGGCGAAAGCATTATTCTCCGATGAAACTTTCGAAAATTGTGACAATAATCATTCAATAATGAAATCGTTAGACAAACATCTAGATTCAACAGCATTTAAAATGCCTACAAAACAAGCGTGCCAAACAGTATGTTATAAGAACACGAATATTACAGAGGATGCATTATCGAAAGCAAAAGTATTATTTTCTGATGAAACCATGCAAAATTATGACACTGACCCTTTATTAATGAAATCATTGCAAAAACAGCCTGCCCCGATAGCACTTAAAGGCCCCAGAATGCAAATGTTTCGAACTGCAAGTGGTAAGAACATGAACATTACAGAGGAATCTTTATTGAAAGCAAAAGCATTATTCTCTGATGAAACATTCGAAAGTTGTGATAGTGGTCCATCATTAATAAAATCAGTACAGGAACACGAAAACTCTACAATATTTGAAATGCCTAAAAGGCAAAGGTTTCAAAGTGCGAGTGGTAAGAATATACATATTAAAGATAAAACTTTATCGGAAGCAAAAGCATTACCTTCTGATGAAGTCATGCAAAATCGTGGTAGTAACTCTTTATTAATGAAATCATTAGACAAGCATCATATTTCAACAGCATTTAAAGTTTCTAAAATGCAAGGATTTCAAACTGCTAGTGGTAAGAACATGAACATTACAGAAGATGCCTTATTGAAAGCAAAAGCATTATTCTCTGATGAAACCTTTGAAAATTGTAACAATGACTCTCTGTTAATGGAATCACTACAGAAAGAGAAAGATTCAACAGTATATCCAATGCCTAAATTGCAAGGATTTCAAACTGCTAGTGGTAAGGACATGAACATTACGGAAGATGCCTTATTGAAAGCAAAAGCATTATTCTCTGATGAAACCTTTGAAAATTGTAACAATGACTCTCTGTTAATGGAATCACTACAGAAAAAGAAAGATTCAACAGTATATCCAATGCCTAAATTGCAAGGATTTCAAACTGCTAGTGGTAAGAACATGAACATTACAGAAGATGCCTTATTGAAAGCAAAAGCATTATTCTCTGATGAAACCTTTGAAAATTGTAACAATGACTCTCTGTTAATGGAATCACTACAGAAAAAGAAAGATTCAACAGTATATCCAATGCCTAAATTGCAAGGATTTCAAACTGCTAGTGGTAAGGACATGAACATTACAGAAGAGGCCTTATTGAAAGCAAAAGCATTATTCTCTGATGAAACCTTTGAAAATTGTAACAATGACTCTCTGTTAATGGAATCACTACAGAAAAAGAAAGATTCAACAGTATATCCAATGCCTAAATTGCAAGGATTTCAAACTGCTAGTGGTAAGGACATGAACATTACGGAAGATGCCTTATTGAAAGCAAAAGCATTATTCTCTGATGAAACCTTTGAAAATTGTAACAATGACTCTCTGTTAATGGAATCACTACAGAAAAAGAAAGATTCAACAGTATATCCAATGCCTAAATTGCAAGGATTTCAAACTGCTAGTGGTAAGGACATGAACATTACAGAAGATGCCTTATTGAAAGCAAAAGCATTATTCTCTGATGAAACCTTTGAAAATTGTAACAATGACTCTCTGTTAATGGAATCACTACAGAAAAAGAAAGATTCAACAGTATATCCAATGCCTAAATTGCAAGGATTTCAAACTGCTAGTGGTAAGGACATGAACATTACAGAAGATGCCTTATTGAAAGCAAAAGCATTATTCTCTGATGAAACCTTTGAAAATTGTAACAATGACTCTCTGTTAATGGAATCACTACAGAAAAAGAAAGATTCAACAGTATATCCAATGCCTAAATTGCAAGGATTTCAAACTGCTAGTGGTAAGGACATGAACATTACAGAAGATGCCTTATTGAAAGCAAAAGCATTATTCTCTGATGAAACCTTTGAAAATTGTAACAATGACTCTCTGTTAATGGAATCACTACAGAAAAAGAAAGATTCAACAGTATATCCAATGCCTAAATTGCAAGGATTTCAAACTGCTAGTGGTAAGGACATGAACATTACAGAAGAGGCCTTATTGAAAGCAAAAGCATTATTCTCTGATGAAACCTTTGAAAATTGTAACAATGACTCTCTGTTAATGGAATCACTACAGAAAAAGAAAGATTCAACAGTATATCCAATGCCTAAATTGCAAGGATTTCAAACTGCTAGTGGTAAGGACATGAACATTACAGAAGAGGCCTTATTGAAAGCAAAAGCATTATTTTGTGATGAAACCATGCAAATTTGTGATAGTAATCCGTTATTAATGAAATCGCTACCGAAACAGGAAGATTCAACAGCATTTCCAATGCCTAAAATGCAAGGATTTCAAACTGCAAGTGGTAAGAATATGAACATTACCAAGGATGCTTTATTGAAAGCAAAAGCATTATTTTCTGATGATACTTTTGAAAATTGTAACAGTGACTCTCTATTAAAGGAATCGCTACAGGAACACGAAAATACAACAGTATGTGAAATCTCTAAAAGACCAAGGTTTCAGACCACAAGGGGTAAGAGCATGAACGTTACGGAGGAATCTTTATTAAAGGCAAAAGCATTATTCTTAGATGAAACTTCTGAAAGTTATGACAAAGATTCATTAATGATTAAACCACTCCAGAGACACAAAGATTCTGTTAAACTTGAAATATCTAACATAGAGAAGTTTAAAACAAAAGCATTGTTTCCTAGTGAAACAATGCAAAATTGTAATAGTGATCCATCATTAATAAAACCACTTCAGAAACGCAAGATTAAAGATTTGAATGATACGTCTATAACAAGGGGAAGAATGTCCAATCAATTCAAAAAATTACGATTCAGCAATGAATTCCATGTACAGAAAAAAGATTGCAAGTATTCTAAGATTAGCGACGAGAAAGAGAATCGACAAATGTCTTTAGTGTCAGCAGTGATTTTGTCTTCAGATAAAGCTGCAGATACTAATAAGTTAATGGATACAAACGAAACAGATATTGACATGGATATTAATTCTTTAATATCTAATGAAATTGTAGAAAGCGCGGCCGCACTTTTAGAGGATGAAAACAGTTCGGAATCTTTTAATCAATGTATACCTCCTGCAGAAACTATCGAGAATAGTGATATTACAAATGTGCCATTAAGTCCTGTAATCGGTGGACAATTTGTTCCTAAAAGAAGGAGGACTACGCGTACACGACGAAAAGATGCGAATACTGTGAAGTCTAAAGAAAGCAAATCCGCACGTGGAGATAATATAAATAAGTTAAATAGTGAATACAAAATTTCAGATCATACTGCAAAAACAGAAAAATCATTAATAGTAGATCACAAAAGATGTGAGCCATTCATTGCCAATGACTTTGGCGACACCCAATTAATGTTAGATTTTATAAACGAATCTGCTACCATTTTAGAAAAACGTTTACAAGCCGCTTTAGAACAGGTGAATCATCTAAATCACATTCTGAACTTTTGATATCTTATGAATTTATTCTTTACATTCATTGTTATCGTATTTGCAGGAACAACAAATTAAGTTAAAAGAAAAAAGCAAACCGAAACCGACAACTGGTAAATTATATTTTCATAGAAAAGTTAATCACGGAAATCGCATAACTTGGAGAGAGATTAGTAAAGGAGCTGCACCTATTCTGTGTACTTATGCAGAGGTAACGATTAAACTAATTACTCATATATTTAAATTTGTTGATGAAATTGTAATTAGAAACTGCTTTCTACCAGCTTATCCAACGAAAATTACCACCTGAAATTTTGGATGTAACACCCGACAATGCCATAGCATATAAATTTCGATGTTCAGATTTCTATGGGTAAGGAAAGAGCCGTCGGCAATATACTTGTGTATAATATAAATATATTTATACTAAATATTTATAATACGTTTAGGCAAAGCATTGTACAAAATAATGTCGAAGGTATACAATTGGAAGACGGCGCACGTTTGATTTTAGATGAAAACGACTATGTGGGAATATTGGAGATTAAAAGATCTTTTTTAGCGTCTCCAGGAGTGGATCCCAATTTGCTTCCTAATGGATGGGTGGAAAATCATTATAGATGGATCGTCTGGAAGTGTGCATCAATGGATAGAATCAAGTTTGCTTCCATTGTTTTACCAAGGTGAATACTGTGATTATATTAATTAGGTAAAATTAAAACCGAAGTTCATAAAGTTTATATTACTTACATCAAAGAATTCATTCCTAGAGTGTTAACTCCAGCAAGAGTGATAACGGAATTGAAATATCGTTATGACCGAGAAATTGATAGATGTCAGAGATCAGCTATAAGAAAAATTTTAGAGAAAGATGACGTTGCGTCTAGAAGAATGATTTTGTGTGTATCGTCTATTACCGAGGTAATTTTATCTTTAATACATGTATATGGGAGATGTACAGTATTTTAAATAATACTTTATTCATATTTTCTTTTATAGTACGATAACCCTGTAGATAATACTGTAAATTTAAATCTCTTAAAACCTCCTACAAAAAAGTTAACATTAACAGATGGATGGTACAGTGTTCAAGCTATCGTCGATCACGCGATGATTCAAAATATTATACAGGGTAAAGTGAAAGAAGGAACAAAACTGATTACGTATGGATCGGAATTGCTACATTGTGATCAAGGATGTTCACCTTTAGAAGTGAATATATTTTGTGTAAACATTTAGTTGTAAGAAGAAATTTATTCTTATAGCATAAATTATTCATTTGTAGGTTCCAGAGAATGTTTGTTTAAAGATTCATACGAATGCAACGAGAAGGGCAAGATGGGACGCAAAACTGGGATATGCGGCATCTCCAAGACCAATATGTATCAAGTTAAAAAACATTTTTTCGTATGGAGGTTTAATTGGACAAATTAAAGTTACAGTTGCAAGAGTGTATCCGATATTATACCACGAAAAAGCTTCTTCCAGCGAATCTAGTAAGATACACAATGCTAACAATTTGATCATCGATGCGTATAAATAGATTTTATAACAAGTAATAAATTTAATTATTTAATTAAAAATTTTAGTTTTTCGTAATACTAGATGCGAAGAGAAGGCAAACATTGCTTATGAAAAGAAATGTCGATCACTGATAGAAGCATTTTATGCAAAAGCGGAGAAATATTTTTCTGAAGAAAATAGGATTAGTAATTCAACTTCAGACAGTATTGATCTGGCAGCAATAGAGTGGAAGAAAGATCGTGAAAAATTATCTGAAGAGGTGCAAATTCGATTTATAAACTATATTATTCTCTTTTTATGGTTTACCGATATTAATGGTTTACTTATTTAATTGAATATTTTTATTTTCATTATATGTAAATAATTTTGATATCAGCCGTTTCGTCTGTCCAGATCAACATTGTTTATTTCATTTTATTACAGAAATTTCTTTCAAATCAAGAACGACAACAATTAATAAATAAATGTCGTATGATGGAAGAAATGATTAGGCAAAAGTTAGAATCACAACTGCAAGAAAGTTTACCATCACCAAGGCAAGTTACACCTGTTTTAAAAATTCGAGTAATTGAAGAAGAAACAAGTGCCATTCTTTCTATTTGGTCACCAAATGAAGATGTCGTTGATATTTTCAAGGAAGGAAATTGCATATCTATTTGCAATGTTACACCCTCTTTGAAAAGGTTCTACTCCACTTATCTCTGCATTCTATTTCATTAGAGAGTAATAGTTATGGATTCTTTTTATTGTAACAGAGGCAATGATTTGCAACTAACTGCGGGCCGGAATACATTATTCAGGCGACTAAGTATATCTGATAACCTTTATCCTCAAAGGACGTATACATCGTTATGCGATATAAATAAGCCTAATTATGCTCCCGCTTATGGGGAGTTTGATACAGTTGGGATTGTTATTTACATTGGAAATGAACCTTATGTAAGTGTGAATTTTCTATCTGGTACTAAAAATGAAACTATGGAAAAGCTATAAAATTTGAGAACAAAAATGTAAAATTACATTGACATTCGCAATATAATAATTGATGTTCGTTTTCATGTTCGCAGGGTATGAAAAATTTTCAAGCTGCATATCTTGCACAACCGTACACCAATTCTCAATCCTTTTACCTATCAGTATTATTTTGGGACGGAATTTCTTCTCACGGATACGCAGAAATTTTGACAATAGGTTCATTTATTGCGTGCAGTAATTTAGAGTGGCGACGAGCTTCATCGTGTAGCATACCGATGACATATTGTACCGAACGAAGTAGCTTCACACAAAATCCTAGACGGAATCACTTGGAACAGCCGTTCAATGAATTAAAACATTTAGTCACGGTACTGGAAAAGATAATTTTCATACTTTTCAGTTTTAATTCCCCATCGTTTTAATTTCTTATATAAAAAATATATGGTTCTTAGGATGTCAGTTATGTGTCCAAATGTGCGGCAGAAATTTCAGAAGAAGTGCAAAAGAAGCCGAGCAGATCTTCAGATCAATTTACCCCGGACAAAGAACATCTGAATAAAACGCCATGCAACGAAGACTGTAACTCTACGCTTAAAGATGTTTCGAGAAATACTTTACTAAATCATCATTCGGTGAAGTCTGCCGCTACGAAGAAACGTTTTGATAGATTACAGCGTTACGGTGAAGCATCGAACTTGTCCCCAATTGTGCTGAACAGTTCTAAGCGAGTATCGTTAGACTTTCAGTCTCCTGTTCGCACATCAGATGTGAATCAATCAAAAGCAAAAATGTCGTTAAGTACAAAGTTTTCTGCGAATTCTAGATGACATCTTATGAGATCATCAATTTCATTTACAACAAAATGTGTCAATTATTTATAAAATCATGAATGTTTAAAATTAATAATAGTACTAGGTTGCTTAAAATTTCAACCTCCAATCATTTATTAAATTCACATACTTATGTCTACGATAAATTATAATATTTTTAATATAACGTATTAAATGTAATAAATTAAATAAGTGTTGGTCAAGTGCCTTAATATATACCAAGTATATTTTTGTATTCAAGCGGCTGTAAATTATTCTGTATCTGTGATGGTAGCGACGCATTTCAATGTACATATTCTTATAACCTATTTTTGTATTCAAGCGGCTGTAAATTATTCTGTATCTGTGATGGTAGCGACGCATTTCAATGTACATATTCTTATAACCTATTTTTG